CATCGGCTTACACCGCGGCGGATCTCTCCACAGGTCGCCTCATGTCAAGCCACACCATCGGCTTACACCGCGGCGGATCTCTCCACAGGTCGCCTCATGTCAAGCCACACCATCGGCTTACACCGCGGCGGATCTCTCCACAGGTCGCCTCATGTCAAGCCACACCATCGGCTTACACCGCGGCGGATCGCTCCGTCTAAACTCACTCAGTCTGCGTCATCGACTGTCTTGACAGCCAGTATTCCAAGCCGGTCACTAACAATTAAATAGGCCATTCAAGTTTTTGACCCATTTTTGCTGTAGCGACCCGATACAGATGTGAAACTGTGTAACCGGACACAGGTAGCCTCATGTCAAGCCACACCATCGGCTTACACCGCGGCGGATTGCTCCGTTTGAACTCTGTCGGTCTGCGTCATCGACTGTCTTTACAGCAGTATTCCGAGCCGGCCACTAACAATTAAATAGGCCATTCAAGCTTTTTGACCCATTTTTGCTGTAGCGACCCGATACAGATGTGAAACTGTGTAACCGGATACAGGTCGCCTCATGTCAAACCACACCATCGGCTTACACCGTGGCGGATCGCTCCGTCTAAACTCACTCAAACTGCGTCATCGACTGTCTTGACAGCTAGTATTCCGAGCCGGTCACTAACAATTAAGGCGTTCCGTTTTCCATACAAAAGTTCAATGGAGTTATGTATGTAAAGGAGACAAGAGTCGGTTTAAAAAACTTGATGGGGAGTCCCGTGGATATATAAGATTGTCGCAAAACACTAAAAAGAATTTTTGAATCATCAGATTTCCCCGTAAAAAGCGAGTCGCCACTTTACGAAAATAGATGGAGCTACTGCTGCAATAAATACGTTTAATTTTATTGTGCAGAAAATACTGATTATCACTATAAGTAGTTTTGCGACAAATTTACGTGTGCCTTCATCATTCAGAATAAAGTTTCTTTAAAAAGAAACTCTACAGCTCATGTGTAACCCGACTGAAGTGCAGTTTTTCGTTTGTATGACGTAACGAACCACCTTAAATAGGCCATTCAAGTTTTTTGACCCATTTTTGCTGTAGCGACCCGATTCAGATGAGAAACTGTGTAACCGGACGCAGGTCACCTTATGACAAGCCACACCACCGGCTTACACCGCGGCGGATCGCTCCGTTTGAACTCTGGCAGTCTGCGTTTTCCATATGTCGCTGTCTTGTCCGCCTAAAGCCAGTTTTACGATTTTCATGATCTGTTTCCATATCATAGTGTATAAGTCGGAGCCGGTCATTAACAATCAATAGGCCATACAAGTTTTTCCAGAAAATATGAGCGATTTTTAACAGTCAAAAAATAGCATTTTGTGTAACACAATGCATATACGTAACTGTTGGTAGATTTATCATGTCATGTTTATCTCCAGGTCTTATTCATTATTTTAGTTTTTACTAAATCAAAATCGGTCTAGCAGTTCACAACAGGGAAATAAACCTGCGATGGATTGTTTCGCTCAAAACGCTGTCTATGATACTTAGTTTTATGGTCTAGCACAGTGTTTGTTTCAGGAAATGAAGATCCATATTTTGATTTCTGAACAGAAAGTACCTAGATTATTGTCAACTTATCATTTTGTAATATCTTAGTTTTCAGTTTACATGCTTCACCACCAAAATTATCCTCAATTTTTTGCTGTCTATGACTAGGTACTTAGATGGCGGATGATTTAAACTAAGTTAGTGGAATTCTCACTTAGACAACAGGAAAAAGACTCGATCTCTTAAAGAAAAATATAGAAGAGTTTTAATAAAAATACATGCACGCTAAAAATGTTTCGTTACACTTATTCTTAAGGTATGGCCTGACACTTTGGAACAATGAACAGTAATAAATAAACTGAACAAATCATTCACAACTTGGCAGAAGTGAACTTAACTTGTTACCTTAGGAACCAAGCACGAATAAAATATCTACTAAAAGTTTAGTCACGAACTTACTGCCAAATCTACTGATTTACCTAGTATTACCTAGTAATTTAACAACAAAAGAAAATAGCTACGAATGTAGCTGAAGCTGAACGCAAAAGAAAAAGAACACAACAAATAAAAGATAGTATTAACTTTTTGGTTACAAAGTTAATACAAACGAAGCAAGCGACGTTGATTAAAAGATAGTAGATAGAAAGTAGTGTAGTAAGTTAAATAAATAAGACAATAAATAAAAGGTGTAAACGAATATTTGACGGCAGATAGAGAGTTGATGGTTAAAGTTAACAACTTGGGAGAAAAATCTTTGCTGTCATATTTCTAGTGTTTGAATTTTTGCAACTGAACTTGGAATGCAACTACAGCTCTGCCGTTATTGGGATATATCGTTTACCATAAAGGCTTCATATCATAGGGTCGATGGACGACTTGGTGTCCCAGAGAGAGAGACCATAAAGTCTGTAGGAAAATAATACTTGTCAATAGATGGCGAAAAAAAAGGGCGAAGAAACGTTACAGCCCTCAAAAACCCAAGATACGAAATTTCGAGAAAATCATTGGAGCCGTTTCCTAGATCCCTAACCCGTACAATTCATGCTCGTTTCAAGGTATTACGTTTGCTGGTGCAATCATTTACCTAAATTATATTTAAAACTGAAATGTAGCCAGCCAGTCAGAGTTTCTCTTGGCCTTGTGTTGACCCATAACGAGTATAGGTATAAGCCTTGTAAGGTCCTGATTAACATTTACCAAAGAACCGTCAAAGGAGTCTTTAAGAAGCCGCTATGAGAAAAAAATGTGATTTCTTGAAGCTTCTGCCGAAAGAGCACAGGTTTTCATCGTCATTTTATACAGAATCCGAAATTTGTGTCCTTAACAACCAGTCGTTAGGGGACGTTCATGAAATACGTCACCTGAACACGTGTAACAGATGTAAAGTTAAGCAAACTTTTTTATGATGGTTTTCGGATTTAATCTCTGTTATTATAAGTACTTTTGTAAAGCTTAGAAAAAGTACAGCAGCGATTGATTTTTAGACTGTGACAGAACTTAGATACATATTATACATAATGCTATTTAGGTACCTATTGTTGCAGGCACTTGATGCTTTTGCTGATTTATTTAACTTAAAAACGAATAAAGTTACACCATCGTAATTTTGGATAGGTAATATTTATTATATTAAGGCGAGAAAAACACGCAACGTCCGTTTGTTCGTTATATTTTGACAAATGCTTCCGTAGCGTTGTGCACAATTTTGGCGCTAACGGATGCGTCTGTCAAACCGTATTTGTAAGAAAATAAGGCTAAAAAATTATATATTTTTTTTATTAATACCATCCTGAAGTATGCGCAACCTTGTCGCACTTGCTAGTATGTGCGACAAAGAGGCGCATACTTCAGGATGGTAATAAACTCGCGCACGTACCTACTGCATGTAACGTTAATCTGTCTGTCATTTACCTAATTAGGTCCGTAGTACACGTGTGCCCCCTTATCGACGTTTTTCTGTGTTCGTTGACAACAAAGCGCCGTGTGCCCATTTGAAATTTTAATCCATCTCATGTTTATGTCAGTCCAGTTCCCACTAAACCGGACGAAATTCGTCAATGTTGCTTCAGACAACTTTAAAAATACACCCGCTTTCGTTGTTTTTGCATACGACCGCAGAAGAGCTCTTTGTTTTGCGGCAGCAAAAGTAACTTTGCTTTCTTTTCCAATTCGTTACTTGACAAACTTTTACATAGCGTCGGATTATTACACTTCTCCCGCGAAATTCAAAGCAATGGTTATTTTTCAACTGTAAATTTAAATTTGTTTCGTTATGAGATTCACCGGTCCAATATAAAAATACATTTTTCTTGTAAACTAGTGAACAAAGGAACGTTATTGGCAGGTGAATCCCGTATTTTTCTATTAAGTAGGTAGTTAGTAACTAATGTTGTCAAGTTATCGATAGTACTGCTATCGATAGATTGCTTTCAAAAACCCAATAAAATCTTATAAGTAAGGCATTTCAAATAAGTCAAATTTGACAGGTTCAAACCCATACTAGGCATGTCAGAAAAATAGTTCTTAGATGCATTAATCTTATTTTGACAGCTGTCAAATATGGTCAATTCGAACGGCTGTACAATCAATAGTATCATAATACTGTAGCAATAGCTACTAAAATGGGTGGCGCAAATCTGACGGTGGTAGAAAGACTTATGTCACTTTATTCCCTAAAGCTTTGTACAACTCAAAAAACACAACTTTTTGCCGAGGCTCGAAACAATAATAAATAAAAATAGCTAGACATGTCTCGGTGACAGAAAATAATTGGTACTCGGTAAACATGCAGTGCCAGGCTCTTGAAAGAGGCTGGATCATAAAGTACTATCGACAAGTGCAATACTATCGATTGAAAAATAATCCATATAATCGGTACTACCGTACCGATGGTAGGTATTGATAGTGATACTACAAAATATCGATACTACCGACAGTTCTTCAATCTTGAGTAACTTTACTATCGATGGTATTGCTGCATTTCAAACTATCGATATTATCGATAGTCCACTATCCAGCAGTACCACTAGAAGTTACGTAGGTGAATCCTATTTTTTATAATGTTTTTGGCTGTGGCGTTATGCAAAGCCAGGCGATAGAGTACAATGCTTTTTATAACGGGTTCCAGTTTTAGTTATCTGGGATGACATGAAAGAAAATTGAATTTTTTGGTAACGACTATTGCGATGCTTTTGCCAATTTTGCCGACCATTACCTGCATGGTAGTAGAGGTGGATATTTTAATTGGATGTAACAAATGTTTAGAAAATCCTGTATACTTTGATCCCATCCTAATCCCGGTTATAGAATAGGTACTCCACAGTACCTACATACAATACATTATGAATAGTACTATATGACAACTTGGGTGGATATCATCACAATTCGTCATGTTTTCGTCAAGTAATAAGCAGTCCAGTAATTATCTCGTAATTATCATAATCATCCTTTTGAAAATGGTTCTAGGTTAGAGCCACTGTAGTGTAGCGGTAAACACTGTCCCGGCTTGTCAGAAGACGTAGGTTCGAATTCCATCAGTGGCATGAATTTTTTCCACTTGCTTCGTTATCTTTGTAACCTCTTGATTATGAAAAAAAAAGCGTTTATTGTTATAAAAACTGTCAAAAAGGGCCTCTAAAAACGGCCCGAGTTAAAAGTGCATTTAGAATGGCCGGTGCAGTGACATTGTCCCACTTATGCGACCCTTAGCCGTGACAATGTAACACATTTTGCGCATCTGTATTCGGCGCGAGCTCACCGTCGTGTTTTATCACTGTTATATAATTTTGAACAAGGATATCCTTGTTTTTGTTTAGATCTATGTAAGGTAGTTTTAATTCAGTGAAAATATGAAACTGAGCAACGTTGCCAATGAACAATATATTTTACATTGTATCCCAAATTATCCTACTTAATATTATAAAGGCGGATGTTTGTGCGTGTGTTTGTTACGACATCACGCAAAAACGGCTGATTAGATTGACGTAAAACTTTGCAGAAATATAAAAGGGCATCTGGAATAACACATAGGATACTTTTTACCACGGAAAAATGTCTCATTCCCACGGGATCACGCATTTTCCAATATTTTTGAAGTAGGTGGCGTGACTGAGCCGATTCGCGTTTTAAACGTTTTCGGCGAAAACTAACAGCGACATCTCTTGGCGAATAATGCTTTCTTCCCACGGAATAATAGGTTGCAGCGGGTGAAACCGCTAACGGGCAGCTAGTATTTTATATTTTATTGAACCTTCCAACCAAAAATTTGCACTGTATTTGAAATTACCTTAAATATGGAGTTAAAAATGAATTTTCATACCAACCAAAGTTTAATTGCCATTTTTTTCTTCTGTATGAATGTAGTAAATCTACAACTTTGTCTTTTTGTAAAGGCAACACAACAGTCAAAAAAAACGAATAATTGTTTTTAGGCCTTTCGCACACGCAACGTCGGTTTCGACGTTATTTTAGCGCTGCGATGCGCAGCGTTAGAAAAATGCGAATTTCCACCTTAATCCCATATAAATACGACGACGCAGGCCCAACGCTGCGTTGCGCACCCTAATGTCAAACGGTATTGACAGACGCATCCGTCGACGCTAAAAATGCGCAGCGTTGTGCGTTGCGCTAAAATAACGCAGGGTATGGCACACGTAACGCAGCAACGGACGTTAGATTTTTGACGGTTTATTAACCCTTAGCCGAGCCTGATACTTGGAATAATTAGGACATTTTCTGTGTATATTCAGTGGGTAGATTTAGTCGGCGACGGAATTTCCGCTGAAGTGTGTCATCTCTAATGCAAATAACATTGCTGGCGTAATGGCGCCGAATTTCATCGCATAGGTCCGGTCGTAGAGTATTTAATTATATTTAAATTGTTTAGTATTCTTTTTATTTTTATTTATAATAGTTATGTTGGTTAATTAGTAGTACGAGTGAAAGATTATTTCTTTTTTCAAGACAGGTTTTAATCACTAATTTTCAACAGCACCCCCAAGGGTTAATAATCGAAACCGACACTATAATAGAGTACAAAGCAATATAATCTGCAACAATGTATTACTATTCCATACAATATGAAACAGTGAAGCGCAATATCAATCTCAATATCATTCATAAGTAAAAAATATACGTCTCATTCATTGTACAATGGTATTACAACAGAAGTTGTCACCATCAGAAGTCTGTGATAAATTTGAAATTAAATTTGGCTTTCAACAAATCTCAGCACTGAGCCAATCGTCTTACTAGCCGCGGCTGTCAGAAGTCCGTGCCGTGGAAAATACTGTATGCAGATGATGTTTCTCTTATGACTCTGTAGAAGACCTGCAGCAGGGCGAATTCGACCGTTGGTTGAAGTTTCTATAAGACATGGGTCTCAAGATTAAATGCAAGAAAACGGAGCATATGTCGTATACTTATGTCAATATATTCATGAAAACATTTAGTATATGTAAGAAAAAATATAAATAATTATACTAGAAATTATGACAGGCAGGCATAACCGCAATACAAGAAGTACAAATAAAATAGATCAACCAAAGTACAGACTAGCTAAAGTTAGGTCTTCATTTTGATGGTCTAAGTATACGATACTATAAAAATATACCGGAAAATATATTAAGTCAATCAAAAACTAAATTTTAATCTGTGATTAAGAGGCTACTATACCGAGCTGAAAATTCGTGAGCTGTTAGTTGATAGTGACATTATTTTGCTGCCAATAAAATATTCTATGCTCCTATCGTTTGTGTTGCTGAAATTATTGTCATATTTAGAAGATACCAAGGCGTAAACTTGCTGATAAGTTTAGAGCACTTTGCGACGGCCATATCTTTTTTAAATGCATTATTACAACCAGAAAAAGAATATGGAGCATGGATGTAGTCCAGAAGAGTTACCGCGCAAAATTTGAGTCGATCGGTTGCGAATTGGCAGAGGGATAGGTTGAGAGCGTTTGTATGAAAAATAATGACTATAGGTCCCCCTTAAGAAAACATTATATTATAAAGCCTATTATAAGTTAGGTTAGATGATTACATTAATAACAAAAGGCATGGACCTCTGAAGTTTCAGCTCATCAAAAGAAACATGAACGCGTTGTTAATACCAAATCGGGACGTGCGTTTACAATTGAAATAATAATAATTGTATGATTTTAATTTTCACACTTGAATGACTAAATTTAATTTGAAATTATATTTTGTTTATGTATATTGATTGTATTTGACATTCTAAAAGAATTATTTGTGAATCTACTTGTAAATAAAGTTTTAAACATTTAAATGTTATAGTCGAGGGCCACAAAGACGCGTCTAAGACAAAACTTTTAGCCTAAAGAAAACATATACCTACAGTTTTACCATTTTAAATACTTGGGGCCAATCATTAGAAATTATGGCAAAATCGACCTACATGTAACCTATAGATAACCTTTAGAAAAACAACGGGATTGATGAAGTGGAGACAACTCGCAGGTGCAATGTGCAACAAGGAGATTATAGGAAAATTATATGTATAAAACGGTGATTATATTATACGAAAGGAAGGATATCTCACACAAACGTGCTCCCATTTTGAACCCTTATAATACCCTACTCAACGTAGAAAACTATTTTTGTAATCTTATGCCTTACTCCGTAGTAAAGACAGTTTGTTTGGCTCGTCTTGGCGGGACACGACCGTGCTTCTAGATTGTGCTTTTAAGTTTGATTGACCAGCCGCGCTCTGATATTATTTTGTTCGATAAGCAGCAGTAAGATCAATTGCTCTTTCGACGTCAAGTGAAACGGCCAAATTCATTTCGACATCCTGTACGGGAAACTCATTTGAAATACAATGTCGCATATTATCAAAAGAACAATATCATGTTGCTACGTCTACCAGTACTTTTCTCGCTCGCTCATTCATACATAATGTCAGGTAAAATGTCAGGCTAGTGCAAGTGTTGCCAGGAACATAAAAATAAATTTACTACACATTGGTCATTAAATGTTGTTAGGTTATTGTCGGACCAGCAGTAAAAGAATATGTATTATATCAGTTACCTAATTCCCTTATTACAAGCTTTGCTTAGTTTCGGGCTAAATGGCGCTGTGTGTTTTATTCAGGCATATTTATTTACCCCTTGCAGGGTAGGCAGAGCATAAACAGCTGTAATAAAACGGTCATTTATTCCACGTCTGACAAAAATTTGAGAGTTATTAAGAAGGTTGTGTATCACCATAGTGACAGGTTGTCAGCCTGTCGCCTAAAATTGCAACTATCAAATATGGTAGCTACGGGATAGATATGGGATGATGCTATTCCAGGCCGACACCACACGGAAAATAAAAATAATACAAAGATAAATATTTGAATACTAAGAAAACAACAATAATAATTATTAGTGAATTTTAAGAACAAGGCTGCAGATATTTATAACGTTTGAAATCCGCAATCTTGAATTGATAAAATTTTAATATAGTCAGTGCAACTTGAAGACTGTACAAATGTTTTGTGATTTCGGCGGTCTCTCCGGCTATGCTTCGGTAGCGGTAAATGGCGTAACCTTACCAGTCTGCTCCGATTTCCGATACCTCGGTTCACTTCTGCAAGGCGATGGTGAGATAAACCGGACTATCATGCACAGTATAAATGCAGGATGGATGAATTGGCGACAGGTCACGGGTACAGTGTGCGACCCCCGAATGCCCCTCAAACTGAAGGGCAAGATTTACAAGACGGTGGTCAGACCTGTCGTCATGTATGGATCTGAGTGTTGGCCTACAAAAGTGACACTTCATAATAATGTCACTATCCTTCCAGCCGTTCAGGCTGTTTCCGTGAAAAAGAATGTATCTACATGACCGTGTACCTATTATACTTCTAGCGGCCCTTTGAGCGGTTTCACCAGCTTCTACTTACCTGTTTCCAAGTAGAAATTAGATCTTTGCCCTTAGCAAAAGTCGATTTCTCCGTTCCAGCAGAAGTGACTCATCAAGACCATGTGCCAGCAAAAGCGACCGTCATGCTGAACAACTTTTACTTTGATGGAGATATCTTATCTCTTGCAATTTAGATGGGATGCTGATGATCTGCATCAGGTACTCCAGACCTTCGATGACTATGTGCCAATAAAAGCGGCTCGTCATGCTGAACAAATTTTACTTCAAAGCCATTACCGTATCTCTTATAGTTTGAATGGGATGCTGGTGATCTGCATTAGGTACCTACTCCAGATTCTCGATAATGATGTGACAGCAGGAGCGGCTCGTCATGCTGAACAACTTTTGCAATGAACCCATTTTAGTATCTCTTATAGTTTAGCTGTGCTTCTAGTGCCCGCCATCATCAGGTACTCTAGTGATGAAAAAAAGTAGTCCATGTCCGTCCCTAATATTATGCCAGCAATATCAATGGCAAATTTCACGAGGATCGCTAAATCATCGGTTTGATTCATTTTGGCAATATCCGTAACTTTTCTCGCTTTTCCTACTTCATTCACCCAACTTCTATGGTAAAAATATGTACGTGGCAACACCTATCAACAAATATTGTT